GGAAGGACGGGCGGAGTCGGGCGGGATGGCAGCCAAAAAACTAGAACCCCACACAGAGATGTGGGGAATGAAGTAAACCCATTGCATTGCATACACCAAGGCCTGAACCATTTTCAACATCAATGGGGCAACACGCTTGATCGGCATTTTGATGTGCAAAATCTTCCCACGAGAAATGCTGCCGTGAGGTGGCATAGGAACCTGTGGTTTTCTAGGCGTGTACACTTATACATACACTATATGGAATTCCTTGGCATTGTGCATGAGGATAACAACAACCTGGCCTGGTGGTAACTCTTCCATCTCAGCGCCAGGGTCTTATTGACTTTCAAGCTGGGTTTGATCACTTGCTTCTTGGCCTCCAATGCATTGAAAAAATTACAATTAAGTAGTAGTAAGGCCAGGAGCCCCTAGGAGTCCTAGTAGGGTCCATGCACTAGCAGTGATGCCAGGAGCCCCTAGTAGTGTCCTTGTTACTAGAAGTAAGGCCAGGAGCGCCTAGTAGTGTCCTTGGTCCAATAGTGAGGAACCCCTAGTAGCGTCCTTGAGTTACTATTAGTATTCGAAGGAGCTCCTAGTAGTGTCCTTGCTCCTAGTAGTGATGCCAGGAACGTGTCCTTGTTACTAGTAGTAAGGCCAGGAGCCCCTAGTAGGGCCCTTGCTCCTATGAACTTAATTGAGTTCTTGCCTTCGACTTGTTGCTGCGGCCTTTCATTGCCTTTGTTTGGCACAGGACAAAGCCACCAAAATCTGTAAGTTAGCTGAAACCCACAATGATTGTTTTGTAGTGGCCTTCTTGTTGGCTGGTCTTCTTGTGATTTTCAAAGCTGAAGGTGCCTGCGGAGCTGTGGCTTACAAAACTTAAAAATATATAGAAACCATAGGTTTGCCCTGACCAAACGGTCCTACACCAAACTTGAGAGAGGAGGGGGGTGAACGAAAGGTAGCAGGGAATCAGGCGTAATCCGGGAGGAGGTGAGAGGCCCCCCACTTGTTTGAAGAGAAGTGAGTGAGCGTGATGAAAGAAAGACTAATGCACAAACGCTTGACAAAACCTCCAGAAGCTGTAGCGGTCTAGCGGTTTCAATACAGGTTGACGTGCCTTCAAAAGGAGTCACATATTTCTCAAATGCAACTTCGGATTTACATAGTGACGTGCGGCGACCCTGTAAATTGCGTGGCCGCAGGCCATGCTTGCAAACAGGACGTGCTCAAAAACACTGGTATTTACGAGGTTTCGTTGCCGTCGATCCACAGCCGCGGCAAGGTCTAAGGCCACGCTTGAAGACAGGAGGAGCTGAAAACACTGGTATTTACGGTATTTTGTAGCCGTCGATCCAAAGGCGCACCACGGTTGAGCGCTGGAAAAGCGCAGAAAACCGTGTAAATACCGGCGTTTTCTGCCGGGAAGGTGCACAAAACCCTGTAAATACCACAGTTTTGTGCAATTTTGAAGCCTCCAAAAGCCTCAAAAACCCTTTCTGACAAAATCTTTCCTGGTTTTTGGTCTTTTTTCTGTCATTTTTCTAACCGAGACGCATCAAAAACCATCGGTTTTTGCGGTGTTTTTTGCCGGACAGCCACAAAAAAAACGCTGTAAATTCCATGATTTTTGGTCACTGCTGAGGACTGGAAGAGCTGAAAACACTGATATTTACAGTGTTTTCGAACGGTTGACCCCGAGGCGCGCTAGGGTGGAGTTGAAAGGGGGGGGTCCCGGCCAGCAAACGAAGATGTCGGGGACCATTTCTCCGAGAGATAGGCTGCAGCTCTGGGTTAATACATTTTTGCTAAAGCAAAAGGAAAACTCAGGTAGCGTAACCGCTACCTTTCGTGATATGCACAAAACCGTCTGTGATGGTGGCCTCCTGGGTCATTGTGTCTTCTGGTTCAGACTCAGACCTTCAAGTTGTGCACCACTTCCCAAACTCCCCTATCACTATCTCCACCAAAAAATCAAATTTCACAATTGGCCAAGCTCCACACAATTGGTCCACTGCTTGGAACGGCATCGTTCCAGCAAAAAAAGGCTGCGCGACGGTCCGGAATCAATCACAAACACGCACACACACAAACACCGACGCCCAACACCGAAATCCAGCGCCAGGCATATCAAGCCTGCACATCGCCTCACTTGGTGTGTCCAAGCCAGCCTGTGTTTAAAGGGAATATACACTTCCCTACAAAATACAATAAAACGCATGACCTGAGGGGTGGGTATTACTGTAACTACTTATTAACTACTTATTATATATTTACTGTGTACTTTCTTTTGATGCATGCTCACCAATTCAAAACATTGCTTTCAAATTTTAGATCAAAGCCAGATATTCAATCGGGCTTGAAGGCTATCATCATTATAGCATCAAGCATTGTCCATAGACTCCAGTTTGGCAACCCCAATCATTGTGGCAACCCCAATGCAAGGAAAACTCCTTTAATGTACTCTGTCGCAGCAGTTTTTCTCCAGGTTTGCGCTTCTGATCAGCTTTTGCAACAGCGCAGAATTCCTGAAACAACTTCTTTTGGGCAAGCAGTCCAATCCTTTGCAAATCTGCGGGCGGGCCATACATTGCCTCAGAAATGGAACCATCACCATGGCCATGGTGGCCAGAAGCAGCAGGCCTCTGAAAACTTTCCTCTTGGTATGACAGCCTCATCAAAGAGTCAAGCAAATGGTCCCACTCACTCCACCGCCAGCAGCATCATCATCAGCACCACCAGAATTATCAGCAGAAGCCTGAGCCTCAGCTGCCAGGAGCCCCAGCAGTGATGCCAAACCACCGAAAAGGTCAAACGCTCCGAGTGCTTGAACTCTGGAAGACGACTGATTCGGAACCCCAAGCTCTTCACTCGCTCTGGATCAACACGCACAAGTGGTGGAGGATTCACTGGTTCCGGCACCCCACCACTACCTGATGCACGAGCGGTTGAGGCTGCTGTTGGCACGATGCGAATTGAGCTCGAACTTGATCCTGGCTGCGAAGGTGATGGACTGTTCTTAGGTGTCGGAAGAAGCTTCGGTGTTGTTTGAAAAAGCTTCGGCTTCACGTGTGGCGGAATGGCCTTTGGTGGAACCGAAGGTGGACTCCTGACCTCGAAAGTTTTCCTTCCAAGCTCTGGGATGACGGGAGCTTGCGTCGTCCCTTCAACGTCCGCTTCAGACTCCTCGTCCCTGATCGCAAGTGTCTCTGCAACAAATGAATCCTCCGACTGATACCCAGTGTCCTCACGCGGTGGCACAGGCTCAAGCCTCGGAAGGAGTGGCTGATTCCTCGGCGGCAACTGATGATCCGAAACCGGGACAACTGCTCCTGCGCTTGGGTCCTTCGCCGACTCAAGTACAAACTGTGTGGATTGTAAGGATCGTACTCAGAGTCTTCAGTATGGGCTGTCAAAACACGGATGAAATACGTCAGGAGCTTAAGACAGGCAGAGCGATATCTTCTCTTGAAGCTAGCGCCCGGCCTCTTCTCCTTCCGAATCTTGTTGAACCGATTCTGCAACCACTGACGCTCTTCTGAGCCAGACCTTGAGCGAGCCCTCTCGTCCATGCACAGTCGCGCACGCACCCGAGCACTCCAAGCAAAAGTGGATGAGCTAAACCCAGTCTCGAACCACAAAAGCCGTACGAACCGAAATGAACTCAGGTTCTCACCCTGCAAATGCTTAGCAAGTCGAAGAGATCAAAGCAAAATGCCAACTAAGTTCTTCAGAGAGATTATTGACTTGAACTAAGGAGCACACAAAGTCTAGATGCTCTGGGCTCACCAAAGTGCTTAATATGGAAGTTGGTCTTACAAATGGGGGATGCACCCTCGGACGCAAGCACGCCCAGCAAGTCCTGGAACTTGAGTGAGGCTTTGCCGCGATGCACCAATCACCTGAGTTGGCAAGAGGCTGGAGCAACTCGATACCAGCAGTTACCAAGGGTCAGTGACAAGTGTGGGAGTGGCTCACTCACAATGCACAAGGCTTGGCTCGAACCGATGTGTTTGCAAAATAAACCTGAATGTATGTGGATGAGGCTGTTAACCTGTTGAGTACGTGTCCCACAACCTCCCAGGACCGTACCCAATGATCGCAAGCGCAACGCTGCCTGTTTTATCTCGAGCCAAACATTCAGTCGCTTCACAAGTCAGAGCACTGCAATACAAAAGACAAGACACAACATGTCAACATGGAGGGGTGTACAGTGCTATGTACATCTAAACTCTCAACTTTAAACCATTTAAAATATTGAATTGATTCCTGGATTTGGCAATTCCATTGGCAATTCAATATTTACAGTTTTCGTATTAAAATAGAAATCATACAAATCTATCAAAAGATCATCAAAATCACATTATACGTACTATCCCCTCGTACGGGGCAGGGGGGGATGTTCCATTGCACGGAATTGTCATCGGCTTCACCACAGATTGTCATCGGTTTTAGCATTGTCATCGGTGGTCAGCGGTACAACACATGTTGTATAATGTTTTTTGTATAAGAAGAGATATGGCGAGCATGACGCATGTAGGAAGCTTCATTCCTACCAACTTGCCCAGAAGGGTCAAAGCGAAAGGCTCATCTGTGCATAGCCCAGCCATTGAAAGACGAGTGCGGCAGATTGTTTGGAGAAGAGAGCTGAAAGAGTCAGCACCAGAAGATGTGCTGGAAACTCTGACGCAAGTGGCCCCAGACAGTGGCCGATAACATGTCATGCGCGGTCCGCATTGATGAACACAAATAGTTTTTGAACCTGCATTTTTTCACTATTTTCCATGAACGCTCCGTTTACAAGGGTTTTTGCAACGCAGGCCTGATTTCGTAGCAGGCGACGGGTGCGCCCGTGACCTAGTTATATAAGTTATATATATATAGATGGATAGACCTATGGTTGGCTCCGTCTACGACAAGTTCATGCCAAAATCGCGCGCATCTTATGCCAGACTGGCGCTTGCTGTCAAGCATCCGTCTTGCTCCGATATCGAAAACACTATCACGAAGCACCATTCGCAAGCCAGGAGAGTGCACTCTGGGAAAGCTAGGACTAGGATTTAGCCAGGCAGCCAGTCATGCTTGCAGGTCTCAACCCTCCGAACTGGGCTTTGAACATCGGCAGCTGCATGGTCTCACTTCGAAGGCTATTGACCTCGGATTGCTGATCATGCTCAACACAGGCCATGTACCCCTTTCCCACATTTAGAATTACAGCCAAGGCGTAGGCACCCAAAATTTGCCAAACACCGTATTCTGGTATATAGTATATACCGTAATTCATCACCGTCTTCACTGTAATCATTTTTGGCATAACGGGCATATCGAGAGTCACACGCGCTCATTTGCCTTTCTTCCCACTGCTGAGGGATCAACACAATCAGCAGTGCGCTCTGCTGGCAGGCTTTCCTCAGTTAGAAGCAGCCAATTCATGTCCCATGAGTCTGCACAGTCAGATCCGGGTCCTTGCGAACGGCATCAATGAGCATGGATCAGCCACCCTCAGGTCGGCACGAAGGTTTTTGCACCTCCATCTACAGTTGCGCGCTGCTGGTCCTTGAGGCTTAACGAGGCGATGACCACACTTTAGAAGCATGGACACTTTAGAACTGCTAAATTTGCGGGTGCTTGTTAGAAGCATGCACAACATGGATAATTAAGCAGGCAAATCTCAACAACAAATAAACGGAAGCTCCACCACAAGCAATATGAGCGCCGGACAATGACTTGTTTGAAGTCAGCGCTTCCATTTTTGGGCACATAGCCTGATTGGCATCTCAAAACCGTTATAGCTTGGAAGTGTGGTCCAGCCTGTGGCTCCTTCATGAACCCTACCCTACCAAAAGAAGAGTGCAGGAGAGACAAGTTTCCGGTTGCCACTTGCACCCCAAGGAAATCCAGGCGACCAGCCCGTTTCGCCTGCAGGTCTCATGACGTTTTGCGGGCTTGCAATAGCATCAGCGGTCCTGCACAAGGTCAGCCCAAAATCAATCAAGAATCCAATACAGTAAGCCAAGACGATGCATGAAAAGCCATTGGTCTCAAATCAAGAGTCATAGAGAGGCCCATGACAGTGTTTCCAATGGGCCCCACCGTGGGCTCTAGTATGTTTCAGCCTGTTGGCAGGTGACCACTCTCACTGGACATGCACACACACACACACACACCCAGCTGCGCAGGTTCCACCCTTCCACCACCCGTCTTCTGCGAAGGTGTACTTTCAAACGTCTCTCCATCACCATCAACCGTGGCTCGCCGCCGGGTGATCGCCGATTGGAAATCTACGCCTCGAAGAGGAACAATGCAAATGAGAGAAATCCCGTTGTCCAAGGACACTGAGCCACACCGGAAATCGTAAAACCAAACATTCAAATTCGGTCAACTAGCTTTATAGTAGCAGCACGTAGCACGTCAATTGCACAAATTGTTGCTAGCTGCTACCCATTGTGGTTGCCAGGGTTATAATTTAAGTTCATGGAAATGGCGATCAAAGGGTTCCAGCAGCAACGAATCCACCCAACCTCCGTTGTGCTTGGGCGGCGCAGCACCTGTATCCAGGCTGCTCTGACATACAAGCGCAACAAACACTATCCGACCGCATTAGGATACTTTCATAAACCATCTCTGGGAACCCCTACAGGTTCTGTATGGCGATGCTGGCGTGGCCATCACTGACTGAGCGAGGACAGGAGGCCAAAAGCCAATATACATTGCAAATATTCGGAAACCGCCGTCGACAATTTGTTTGTCCACACAATTACAGTACTCTTGGAAACGAAGGCTTTCAAGTGCCCTTACTTGAACTTGGTTCGGAAGCTCCTGAGTACCCAAGACCCCCCTATTAAGGCCCTATTAGATCCTACAAGTGTTGCAGGAACATGCAACAAGCATGCTTTCCACAGATCTGACGTCTGTTGGTCCTCGTGGGCAGAGGGTTGGCTCTCAAACTTGAGGCCACTCTCCTGTCGGGTCAAAAACCACATACAAGGACGAAGCAAGTTGAATGAATTGAATGCAGTGAAATATAGTTTTGGCATGTTTTGGCTGCGTCGTCCTCAACCACCGTCCGGCGCTTGGACAGCTTTTGCTCCAGCTCGTTCATGCTGGAACAAATGCCTTCAATTGTCCAAAATCACGTATGGGCCGCTGGGGCCAACATGAGTCTCAAATTCTCTATACTAACAGTCCGTGCAACTCTTCTGTGGCTAGACGTGTTTTGGTCAGGCATGGCATGGCGACCCTGCCACACCTGCCTGTCCGGACAAAGCTCCGGTGGGATCAAGAATGCGCTGAGGTCTGCTTGGGGTATCCTACGTGTCGCTACCTACATTGCTCAGCTGCATGCTTGGTAACATGAACTTGTGGAACTTGAGCCAGGTTGTCAGGGCACCAAACAGCTAAGCAGGTGTGGTGACGTTGCTCTTGCTTGTTGTCACCCAACACCTAGTCCAACAGGCTGGAGTCTCTCTTTCTGGCACTTCCCTATCGCATTGGCATGATGTGACATATTGAACTGATGGGCTTCACCCTCTGCCAGGACTCAGTTCGAACTTGGAGCCAAAATTGCCAGGTGGAACCAGTAGTCTTGCGCAAAAACTCGGCTCTGGGTGCTGAGAATATCTAGACTGAGGGGACACACCCTCCATAGATAGACTGACGGAAAACTTGAAGACAGTCCTCGCAGTATGCCAAAAGCGCTTGCCACATTGTTGTGGGTTGGCCTTCCCAGTCCAGTAACACAGTAACCAGTTGATTGTGCGTCATTACCATCCAGGACAAAAGAATCACACAACCTGTCCGCTATCAAGCGAGGGCACATATTTCCTGGTCATGTCAGACCATTCGCTGTTGAAACGTTTCAGCTAATTACACAAGCCGAAAACATTGCTCACTCGGTGTACACCTTCGCAGCTGCAAATACGTAGCAAGCAAGCATGCATGCGAACCCAACGCGTGCTGCTTGAAACATAGACCATGACCTGCCAATTCCCCAACCAATCGAGCTCACGCCTTTAGTGTCCTTTAGTCTTAACGGCACGAAGCGATGCGATGAAGAAAAAACTTGTAAGGACCTCTCACATAAGCCCCTTAAGTGGGGCCGTGCTAAAGGTTACAATGTAATGTATATCGACTTGTCCACACGTGACATCTGCGGCTTACCGAGGGACTTCCATGCTCGAGTGAAAACGGAACGCCCAACTGTTGTTCCTCAGGGGGGGAACGCATACTCCGCAATTGGTAGCGGAGCCGGGTAAAATCCCGGCTCCTGCCATGGCCGATTGACTACACAGACCTCTCGGTGGAGGTCCTCACACGTGACATGGCTGCAGCGGCTAGCGCGTCCGATAGCGCTGCGGTTCGAGGGTTTTCAGGTGAAAATGAAGATGGCCGCGAATATAAGCGGTGGAAGACCTGGGTTAAAAACAAGTTTTTGACTTTGGACAAGCTTCCTGAGAGCGCACGGGGCGCCTACATATCCTACATCTACACTCTTTTGAGTGGCAAGGCTTTGGAGGCGGTGGAACATGTTGATCCGTCGCTGTACCAAAAGAAGATGGTGATCAAGTGCTTTGGGATCTCTTGGACAAAAGGTCTCCCCAGCTTGAGGCCGTGGATGAGTTGGGGGAGATTTTGGGTCAGGTATTTCACCTTCGATCCAATGAAGGTGAGAATATGAAGCAATGGAGTGCCCGAGCCTCTGAACTGTTTGATCGGTGCTACCGGAAAACCGGTGTTCAGTTTCCTGATGAAGCTCGTGGTTGGCTCCTTCTTCACAGAGCTGGCCTTAGTGAGGAGCAGAAAGCTGTGGTGATCTCGAGACCCCGAGGAGACTTGAAGCGGGAATCCATAGCTTCCGCTCTTCGGTCTTGCTACCCGGAGTTGGTGATTGCCAAACGGCGTACGGCCATTGGCCTCGCCGAAGACGCTGACCCTGAAGCTGACGACCCATCTGATCTATGGGCAAAGCATTTCTCCAATGTTGATCAGCTGATTGAGGATCACCAGCTGTCCGCTGACCTCACTGGCGACGGAGAGACGTTTCAGGAGACGGAAGTGGCTGAGGTTTTGGCTGCCACCTGGGGAGAACGTCGACAGGAGCTGAATAAGCTTCAGAAATCCCGCCAGTTCTGAAGCGGCACACCGCCTGCAATCGCTCCGGAAAGAAGGGGCATTGGGCCCGAGAGCGTCGCTCCAAGGAGATCAACAAGAAGGGCTTGGGAAAGGGTGCGTCCTCTTCGTCGAAGTCGAATGAGGCCTCGACCTCTGGAATTGCTGTTGTGGAAGAGTTGGATTTTGTGGCTTCCGTGATTGCCCAGCTCACTCTTCTGGAACAAGTCCGACAGAAACGACATGACTCCTTGTTCGCCTCGCCACCTCTCCCAGAGGAGGCCTTGTTGGTGTCGTCCTCCGGCTATGCCATGCTGGACTCAGGATGTGGCCGCACGATTGTTGGAATCAACACCCTCCGTTGTTTTGGGACATTGTGGCGACAGCGTGGGTGGGCAGTTCCTCCATAAACGCAGGGGATTCATCAATTTAAGTTTGGGAACGGTGACATTGAGACATCAACTCATTCGGTGGCCATGCCAGTCATTTTGGCATCCAAGCGGGGAGTGATCAAAGCTGCCATCATTCGGGGTGATGCACCCCTGTTGTTGAGCAGGTCAGCATTGAAAGCTTTGGGGGCAACGCTGAATTTTGAGAAAGATTGTTTACATGTGTTTCAGCAAGTGGTGCCTCTCGAGACCAACAGTGCAGGACAGTACATGGTTCATTTGGTAGGTCAGCCGTCGGACACCATGTGTACAGCATCCTTCAATGAGGTGATGGCATCGGTGGAGGCTCCCGATGATGAACCGGAGATCAACACTGCACCTCCGGCGTCCGCAGACACGACGCCACCGGTGTCCACTGAAGCCGCATCCTTTGAGCTGGATCCTGCAGCCCCATCCTTGCTGACATGGACCCAGGAGAACAGTGATGTGGTTAGCACTCCTTGGTTGTCTAGAACAGGTCTAAGGTGGAACAGTGTTGTTCGTAGGAAGGTGATTGATTGTGAATGAAAAAGGGTTCTTGACGATGTGAGGGTGTATCCAGGGACTCCTCAACGCAAGATCATTGCTCACGTTCGAACCGTGTTCACCTTTGTGCCTCGTTCCTCACATGATGAGCATGGATCTGGGTTGAACCTGAGTTCACATCAGTCCCGACAACTCGAATCGCAAGTGAAGATATGTTTAGCTGTGCATGCTCGACCAAAAGGGACATGTTGGGTTATGGAGGTGTTTTCTCCACCCCGTTTTGCCATCCAGGCCGAAGAAGCCGGCTTTCGTGCTCGATCATATGATCTCAAGACCGGATTCGATTTTCGTCGCGCCCGTGACAGGAAGATCGTGAAGGAAGATTTGATCTCGGATCCTCCAGAGCTCTTGGTCCTCTGTCCGCCGTGCACGGATGAGAGCGGATGGGTGCACCTGAACTGCACTAGGGGCGATCGCATGGAGTATCTTAAATGTAGAGCTCAGAGCCAATCTTACATTATTCGATGGTGTTGTAAGTTGTTCCGAATACAAACCAGAAACGGGGGAAGTGCCATGTTCGAGCATCCGACCGGGTCCCGACTCTGGACTTATCCAGAGATGCAGAGTTTGTGTCGTGTGTTCGAAACTGTCAAACTCCACATATGTGCAGGTATGGTCTGCGCCTGCCATCCAGTGAGCACTTCATTCGTAAGAGTACCCGTTTGCTCGTCCCTCACCCGGATATGCAGTCTTTAGGACTTCTTTGCGCAGGTGATTCCAAGCACAGCTGTCATGACATTGTAGCCGGTCATGCTCCAGGGGTTGCGAAGGTCAGTGGATATGCTGGCCAATATCCAAAAGAAATTTGTTCAAGCCGTGTGAAACACTCTTGCCAAGTTCAAGGATAGGAACCAGGGGAATTGTTCGCATAACACCTGTCGAGCACACCCTGCGTGTCTAGTGGAAGTGCTAGAGGATGCCGTGCATACCGATGCTTGGAGGGAGATCCTAGCCGTCGCACAAAGCCAGGCCAATCTGACCAGGCACTCAGACTGGCGAAAGAAGTTTCTTGTGATTTCTGTAAGAGCCAGGCTCGTCCCACTTCGCCTCTGCCGACGCAACCAAATCGAGAGTCCGAGTTCAATCATCAAGTAGGGATGGATGTGAAGCATCTGAATGGTTGGCTTCCCAACCAAAAGATTCGAGCCGTGAATCTTGTGGACACAGCGAGTGGTTTTCAGAGAGTGATTCCATTCTTCGAGACAGAGACTGCCTCAGTCCTTCAAAAGCTACTGCATGAACATTGGATTGCCTGGGCTGGGGCCCCAAAGGAGCTAGTCATCGATCCTGCAAGAACCAATCTGGGAGAACAAATGATGAAGCCTGCTGAAGCTGACGGCTGCCGGAGCACATTGGCAATTGGGCAAGTGTGAATCTCATGGCGGTTGGTTCAACCGAGTCCTGGAGAATCTGATCGATGAATTTCAACCGAGAATCATGGCTAGAATGTGTCGCTCATGCTCATGTGAAGAAGCAAATGCTTCAAGTCCATGGATTTTCTCCCCATCAATTTGTGTGTGGCAGAAACCCACATATCCCTCAGGACTTGTTGAACGAGCCACACTCCGTGATTGCTAGCGCAACAGCTTTAACTGATGAAGGCTTGCTCGAGCCCAAGCGATGAGAACCGCCGCTCGCGTTGCGTTAGTGAAGATGCAAGATGACCGGTCCCTTCGTGTTGCCTTGTTAGCTAGACCCCGTACTCCATTTCAACCCAGTGACTTGCTTGCTTATTGGAGAAACCAAAAGTGGGTACAAGGAAACCTTCAACAAGGGGGTCAATGGTATGGAGTAGCGGTCATGCTAGGCACGGTAGGGCGCAATCTGATTCTAGTCCATCGCAGGAATGTGATTCGGTGTGCACCTGAGCAAGTTCGTCACGCCACCAATGAAGAAAAGTGTCTCATCGCCACTCCCGAGACGGAATTGCTTGATCACACAAGGGAACTTGAAGAGTAAGCAAAACTTGGATCTGGCTCCACAGTCATATCCACCTCAGGAAGACACTGACGATACTGTTCAGGCCGCTCCAGGCCGTGCTCCAGTTGTTGCACCCGAATCACCTGATGTTCAAACGCAGGCTGAGAGACCGTCGGCTATCGTACCGTCTCCTGACCAGGCTGAAATCGTGACATCGCCTGGGGAGCCAAATGCCGACATTCAACCTCCCCAACAAGGGGACACCAGTGGTCCAGCCGAAGCAGACATACCAACCGAAGTAGGTAAACCTGATAGTACAGCTGAATCGACCTCAGCTTCCTCGTATGGCCCGGTTCGTCGCAGAGTGACTGGAAAAGATGGGCCCATGACACTGTGGCGGCCTGCTGCTCTGAACCAAGAAGATTTCGTAGATGTGATGCGTGAAGTGGAACTCGTTGAAGATGTAATCATGAGTAGAGACAAACGTCCTCGATCTCCTGAAGCTGCTTCATCAGAGCCAGAAGCCCCCGCAGATGCTGTCATTGAGGTGACTGGAAACGTGTATGGACAAAACGATGCACCAGCTGCTTGGTTTAAGGAATTCAGTTGCTTTGTCAAGACCATCGGGCGGCGCCAGAGTGTTCTGGACCCTTGTTTGTTCACTCTCCGAGATCCACGGTCGGAAGCACTAGTGGGTATCATGGGGGTTCATGTAGATGACACCGCTGTGGGTGGCACCGGTGCAATGTTCGAGGAATCCATTCGGCAGTTGAAGCACCGCTTTCCATATCGTAAATGGAGAATCACAGAAGGTGAATTTTGTGGTGCATGGTATAAACAGGATCCCTCAAAGGCTATTCACATGACCATGAAAGCTTTCGCTGATAAGATAAGACCGATCAACATTCCAAAGGGCAGTCCACCGGACAGGTTGCTGGATGCTTCTCAGATCAAAGTTCTCCGAGCCGTGAACGGCAGTTTGAACTGGCTTTCCTCTCAGAGTCGTCCGGACTTAAGTGTCCAGACGAGCTTGTCGCAACAGGCCTTTCCTCGGCCAACCATCAGTGACTTTCGCATGGCTAACCAGGCCATCCGACGAGCCAAACAGCATGGTGATCTAGGTATTGTCTTTGCACCCATAGATCCTCAAGAACTCATGATTGTTTGTAATGGTGATGCTGCTTTTGCTAACCGAGGTAACCATACCCAGGCAGGATATATCCTAGGCTTTACTCAAAGGAAGTTGCAAGATGTTGCAAGAGAGCGAAGAGGCTCTTTGGTGTCCAGTCGCCTGGCGAAGCTTCAAATTGAGCCGTGCAGTGAACAGCACCTTGGCCGATGAAAGCCAGGCCATGTCTGTTGCAACAGGCACGCTGGAGTGGTTTTTGCTTCTCCTGTCTGAGATTTTGGATGGGCCATTGAACATTCGAACATGCCGAGAGACCTTGAAGAGAAGACGACCCATGGTGGTCACCGACTGAAAAGTTTGTATGACCATTTGCACTCGCCGTCGTCGCCGACATCGATCGAAGACCGCCGCACCAGCACATTGATGTAGTCATCATTAGAGACAGTGCCAGGTCCATGCAAGCGTTCATTCGTTGGGCTCCGACCAATCGCACGCTTGCCGATTCGTTAACTATAAGAATGATGGTGACCCGGTAGATTTGCTTAGAGCATGTATGAAACGGCAGAAATATCAAATATCCCCAGAAGAAACTGTTCTTGAATATCAGGCCTTGGAAAAAGAACAGCGCCGTCTTCGTCAAGCCGATCGTAAAGAGACCAACAACCGAGAGGGTAGTTCACCAGCCGTGGAGAGGGATGCTCACTTAGGGGGTAACTAAGTGTGGGGAGAGCACTAATAGGGTAGTGCCTCGCAGATCAAAGAATTCGATTTCTCTTGAGTGACTTGAGTGTGTTCTGCAGTTTGCTGCATATCAACAGGGCTGCATATCAACAGGGTAGAGCACTGTGTTTTTCTTCGGCAGTTTCCTCCCGGATCAACATGTCCACCCCTTCGAAGATGTCTCAGTCCGCGCTGGACTTGCTGAAGCAAGTGCTCAGCGAGGGCTCAGTGGGATTGCTCCTTCGCGAGCTGGGTTTCGACATGGATCGCTGTTGCAAAGGCCGACTCCGCAAAGCGTCGCCTGCTGCCTGAGTCGGAAGAGACTCGCCAGCTCCGGCAGATGTCGGTGCCAACCGTCAAGCCATCCATCCAGGTGGAGGGATCTTTGCCGGCTGGAGTGAAGGATTTGGCTGATTGGGGACGGACTCTGATTGAGTCAGGGAAATATGCCACAGCCAACATCAGCTATAAATGGAGCTGGTCACTTCGCCGGAGAAGGAGAAAGGTGCCTATGTCCAGTGGCTTCTCCGACAATCCAGTCGGGCAGATCTTACACCCCTCATCCGTGATCTGGTTGATTTCTTGGTGATGTATGAGCGCTCTCGTGCCTCGGCGGGACCCAGCTATCCAGGTAGCTCCGTCCCTCGTCGCTACAAGGAGTGAGATGCCTTCGAAGCGAGATGGCTGCTGAAACACGTGTTCGAAGAAAAGTTCTGACAACCATGAGAATGCTATGACCTCAGGTGGAGTCGAGATCCTGTCGGAATTTTATTTTAGAGATTTGTAGCAGTCGAATTGTCCACACGTGACATCTTCGGCTTACCGAGGGACTTCCACGCTCGAGTGAAAACGGAACGCCCAACTGTTGTTCCTCAGGGGAGGAATCGCATACTCCGCAATATAATATATATATATATATATATGTGTGTTTGTTAAACCTGTACTTTCCTGAGCCCAGAACGGTACACCCACCAGTGTGAGTAGGGTACTGTCCACTTCCCCCTATTGGTCAGCTGGGGGCAGCCCAGGTCAAAGCCTTCCTCTACGTACCTGCAACCGAGCGCAAGTCCAGTGCACGTTGGGTCATCAGATTTTCATAGCATGGGGTCAATTCTGGAGCGGAGCGTAAATTTTGAATTCTGGTAGCATGTTAACATATATGTTTAAGTGTTTAGCATGTTAGTTAGTATATTTTGTGTAATATTTTATTGTCGTACAAGTAGCACTTTGCACATTCAGCCGCATAATGATGAGGGGCACCCCTTGATGGTGAGGTCCAAGGACTCGACCACAGAGTCAAAGTCTTTCCTGGCGCTCAAAGGCAGCATGTAAGGCTGATGCTCAAGCATGTGGAAACGGATGTTAATGAATCGAAGTAAAGCCTGAACTGAACATTTTGACTTTTCCGCGTCCGGCGAGAAATTTGTTGAACCACCATGTTGGATGTCATTTTGCAGTCGTCCCAAGGGGGTACTTATGTTACCCGCAATTACTCAAGCCACCGACATCACCGCCCCCTGATGCTTCTCAAAGCATTCCCTGCTTGCGCTTCGAAGCATGTGCAATCAATTTGATAGAGTTCAAAAGGGTACGTGGCAATTTTATCTAAGTTGACAATTGTTCTTTCACGCACAAACCGCCGGCCAGTGCCAATCATCCTTTGCATATATATATATATATGTAGAGAATATAGCTTGATATATATATATAGAGAGAGATTCTATTATGTAGAAGGAATCAAGGAGAAACATTGCAACAATACTAGTCTGACAACTACCACGCACAAAACGTTTCCACTTCACGGCCTCGGTGATTTCTGCAGGCGCTTTTGAAGGAACTCCACTGCACTCCGCACACGGGCCACATGGACGTACGCATCTGACAGCAGGGCTTTGCAAACAAAGCGGCATGCGTTCATTGTCTTGCCGGAAGGTCGGCATTGTCATCATTGAACATGGCCAATTGTAGCAAGGATAAATGATATATATATATACACATACAAGTCCAGGATCGCTAGTGACCTTCGCAACGGGAAACGCAACCGTCTAAGTACAACATCTGCCCAGCGTCGTTGTATTGAGCGTTCCTCTGCAATAGCTGAATCAAAATCCTGCAGGTCCAAAATACGACTCCAGACTCCAAACTTTACCAGCCCTTGTTATTACTACCATCACGTGCACCATTGAATCGCCCATGGACATGGAAATCCCGCACAGGTCACGCACAGCACACCTGCCGAAAAATTACATCGAATACCTTTTCACATGTCTAGTAGCATCATGTAGCATCCAACACAGGCAAGCGAATGCTGCTTTTGTTGGTGCAACCCATCTCCAAAACATGGACCCGTTTGTACTTTGCAAGTGCTCGGCTTCTCCTTCTCCACAGCTTTGATGGCCTTGGAGACTGCTGATGCCACAGTGCTCCACTTTGCACCTCAAACGTGTGCAGCAAAGGCCGAGCTATCCAAACAAATATATCAAGAAGAACAAAATTAACATCTTCTCAAAAAGGACATTATAGTCACGGACGACCAGCAGGCAGGGATTTTTCTGCTTATTGCAGGCGGAAACGGGGTTTCGTTGAGCACCCGGGCATACCATGATATGGGAGAGGACTGCAATAAGCAGAAAACAAAAAACATACAAAACATTGGCACATATAAAGCTCCTGAACATCTGCTTATTGCAGTGGCTTAC